AAAGCAGTAACCAGTCTTAACCTCTGAGCCATCTTTCCAGTTCCCTTATTCTATTTATCATCTGAAGCCACTTAAAGAAGGCTTGGGAGAGCTGGGTGGTGGCAGCACATGCCTTTAATCCCAGCACTTGGGAGGCAGAGGCAGACAGATAGATCTCTGTGAATTCGAGAACAGCCTGGTCTATAAAATCAAGTTCCAGGACAGGCTCCAAAACTACACACAGAGAAACCCTATCTCAAAAAACCAAAAAGAAGGAGGAGGAGGCAGCTTGGGTTGTGTGTGAGTAGGAGAGTCACTGTAAGATTATTCGAAGAGTTATTTAAACTTGTCTTTGGTAGCATAACATATTTATATCACTTTACACTCGAAGCATAGAACTTCAGAGAAATTTCATATTTCAATTTCAAATAGCTTTAAAGCTCTTAGTGCCCTTGTTAGAGGTTGCATCTGGTTTTCTTGCTTAACACAATACCTCCTAATTAAAAAAAAAAAAAAAGTCATGCAAGACCTGAAGCATAATAGGTGCTTAATTGTTGAATGGGTGGTCCACATGTCATACTGAATGCAGAAAATGTCCAGGGCCTTTCCTCAAGGTAAGCCAGCATACTTTCTGTGCAGAGGCCCCGGTGCCACAACTTTGTCCAATATCAGTACCTATAAAATAGTCACCTGTTCCCTCAACAAACCCCAAGCTCCTATTTTAAGCTACGATAGCCATGAAGAAAACAAAGACACATAAAAGTCGGTTTGTTCTCAGAGAGCCTCCCACTCCCAGTTGGAGACAGGCAAGCAAGCAAGTCTATGCAATATGTAAATTCATACAAGAGATGGTGGGGAACTGGAGGGAGAGGCAACTGTAGCCGGTGGTAGACTAGACTATGGCTGGGGCAAGTCAGGGGAGATGACTCACCAACTGAATTTCAAAGATGAATTCGGTCCCCAGGCTGGCACAAAGAGGAGGAGCAGTCCGTGTATGTGTTGGAGCTTGATAACGCATTTTGTGTTTAGAGAACTTGAAAGTAGGTCACTATGGCTGGAGCACAGGGTGTGTGTGTGTATGTAGGGTTGGAGGAGGGGTCAAAACGAAGGCGGCAAGTTACACATGCAATAAAATGTTGGGAATGTTCGCCTCAGAATTTAAACCAAATGAACTAGGCAGTTGAGGAGTAGGGGTGGGGCTTGTTAAGGAGAGCCATACAGTGAAATGTATGTCTGAGAAAGATTATCCCAGCCATGTGTAAAAGATGAATTAAAGGGGGATTACACGGGAGCTAGAGAGACCAGTTGTCTCTGGGAGATTATGGGAACTTGAATTAGGTCAATGATCGTAACAATGAAAGAGAGGGGATGGACTGAAAAAGAAAAAAGAGGCAAAACTAATAGTGCTTGGTGGATGATTGACCTTGGGGGTGAGGGAGAGTTGAGGGGACTCCAGTGCTGTCCACTTTCCGGATTGATAGTGATGGACTATCCATCGAAACTGAGAATGCATGTCACTAATTAAAAATTCACCCGTCACTCAGGAGGTCTAAGGAAGGAAGAGTTTGAGGCCAGGGAAGAGAGGAGAAAGAGAGGGACAGACAGAGAAAGAAGAAGAAAGGGGGATTTTGAAATGTAGTTCAGTTACTGGAGTGCTTGCCTAGAGAACCCAAGGCCCTGGATCCCATCCCCAGCAGCACAAAACCTGGGTGTGGTGGTGCACATTTGTTATCCCAGCATTAAGGAGAACTCAACTCAGCAACTGTGTTCTACTCACGTAGCGTCTCTTCACTCCTCCATCTCTTCCCTAGTTCCCTACCCAAGAAATATGTACAGAAATTCCTCTACCCTGGTTGTGTTCACTTTTCTCAGGTGTTTTTGTATCAGTACAAAGAAAATTTATTGAGATGTTTGTGTCTCCGGCACTTAACTATATATCAGTCTGGGCGTGAGAGATGGCTTAGCAGTTGGGAGCACTCGCTGCTCTTGTAGAGGACCAGAATTCTGTTCCCAGCACCCACATCAGGTGGCCATAAGTCCAGATTTAGGTGATCTGACATCCTCTTTTGTTTTCCATGGGCACCTGCATACACATGTATGTAAATAAAAATAAACTACAGCTTTTAAATGTACACAGGACATACATTCTGTCCTGTGTACATTATAGAATTAACTATTATAGAATAGCTAATCATATATCTGGATACTTTGATCATATAAGCTTCAGCCAATGTTGGGAGACTTATCTAGGTATGTATGCTCGAGGGAAAGGATTCCACCACAAAATGACAAAGGGATGCTGGTTCCTTGCTACAGCCTGTTTAATTCCAGTACCTGCTTTATTGATTGGTTACTACCCAGCCCCTTTCAGACGTGTCAGACAACTAAGGTATACCTAGAAAAGTGGAGGCTCACAGGAATATGGTTACTTCCTTTGAGTGCAGAACACTGTGCCCACTCTAGGCCCAAAGGATGGTTTTACTAGTGGTATCAACCAGAGATCTCTAAAACGGCTGTCTTCATGACTCAGACTTGATTGGCATTCGGTGGGTGAGGCCAAGTTTGTTAAATGTCAGTGAGAAACACTCAGATAGGCAAAGAGGAAGAGGAGGGGAATATGTTAGGCAGGGAAATAGAATGAGTAGGGGGGCAGTAAGTTTTGAGAAGAGTAGGTGTCTATGATGGCAAAGGAGACAGGGAATGAACAAGACACAAAGGTTAAATCTAACCCTCTAAGAATCTGCAGTCTTAGAATCTACAGTTAGTTAGCCTGAATATCTGCTAACTCAAGTCACCTTTCTTTGGGGGTAAAATATACACACAAGGCAGTGGATTGTGGAGCACTTGGTGAGTGAGGCCAACGTTGATTCTTTTGGACCACCCAGACGCAGTTAACCTCCAGATGAAGGAACCATTTAAGTGAACAAAGGTAAACCAAAACTGGCCAGCTGAGCCCAGCCACAGAATTGTGAACAAACAAATGGATGTTGATTGCTACAAAGTCTCTGCTCCTTTTTTTCCCCCCTCTTGAGACAAGGTTTCTTTATGTAGCTTTGGCTGTCCTGGAACTCATTCTGTAGACCAGGCTGGCTTTGAACTCAAAGAGATCCACATGCCTCTGCCTCCCTGAGTCCTGGGATTAAAGGTTTGCACCACCACCACCAGGCTAAATCTCTGCGCTTAAGGTAAGTACATTCTTGTAATAGGCAATAAGTGGACAAATAAATAAGTGCCTAGACAAAAATTAAACGACACAGTTTAGAGGATGCTCAGTGTACCTGAGGGCTTAAGGGGAAAAGCTGCTGCTTTACAGAATCAAATATTTAAAAAAATAAAATAAATTGTGGTGTGTGTGTGTGTGTGTGTGTGTGTGTGTGTGTGTGTGTACATACATGGTGAGTGGAAATTGGTTTTCTCCTTCTCTCCCAGGGATCAAACTCAGGTCATTAGGCTTGCTGGCAAGCACTTTACCTCCTTAGCTTTCTCTCCAGCTCCAAGAGAAAACTAAGTTTATTCAAGAAGAGGGGAGTCTGTGGGTCTGGAGAGATGGTTCAGAGGTTAAGAGCACTTACTGCTCTTGCAGAGGACCCTGGTTCAATTCCCAGAATACACATGATGGTTCACTTCAGTTCAGGGGATCCAGCCCTCTTCTGACCTCTGCTGGCACTGCATGCATGTGGTGCATATATACATGCAAACAAAACATCCATGCACATAGAATAAAAATAAAATCTTAAAAAGAGGTGTTCATGCTTAATGACTCTTTACCAACTATTACTAAGTTTTGTTTTTTCCTCAAAATCCTAACCCAGATTCTGGGGCTGGAGAGATGTCTCAGTGTTTAAGATTGTGTACTGCTCTTGCAGAGGACCTAAGTCTGGTTCCCAGCACCCATATCAGGCAGCTTGCAACCACTTACAGGTCCCCAGCTTCAGGGGATCCCATGCCCCTGAGCATTGTGGGCACCTATACTCATGTGCACATACCCACATAAAGACACACATGTAGATAGATCATTGAAAATAAAGAGTAAATCTGTAGATGAAGTTTCTCTGTGTCCCGGCAGCCACCCCCAAACAGCCACTCAGAGGCTTATTATTAATTATAGATGCTTGGCTGATAGCTCAGGCTTATTACTAACTCTTACAACTTAAATTAACCCATTTTTAGTCATCTGTGTGCTGCCCCAAGGCTTGTGGCTTTTGCCTCTCCTGCATGTTCTGCTTGCTTTCCCTCTGGCTGGCAATCCTCCTCTGACTCCGCCCATCTTCCCAGCATTCTCTCTGCCCCCAAAATCCTGCTTAGCCATTGGCCAATCAGTTTATTATTAATAAAGGTAACAATGCATATTTACAGTATACAAAGACTGTTCCACAGCATAAATCTTTTTTTGTTTGTTTGTTTGTTTTTTTGGTGGTGCACGCCTTTAATCCCAGCAACAACAACCAAAAGTAATACATGGTAGCTCAATACTGTCTGTAACTTTTGGTCTCTATGGGTACACAATTGGTATAAAGACATACAAGCAGACAAAACACCACACACATAAAAAGAATTTCTGTACCATGGTGGTGAGACAATTGAGTGGGCCTCCAAGCACTTTCAGTATTCCAAAGGAGTAACCTCCCAGGCTTGGGCCCTGCCTTGTGGATGGTGTGGCCACATCTACCCTACCCACCCTGAGAACTGGCAGGAAAAGGTGAGGCCCTAGGGCAATGAGTACAAGATTGTACTGTAGGGTTACCTAGTAGATCAAATGGGTCAAGGCCCAAAGAAACAGAAATAGTGGGCTCCCATAAGACCGGACTCCCAAGTTGGGTAAGGGGAAGGAGACCAGTCCTGGGAAAAAGACTGGAGCCAGGCCAGGTAACCTCAAAGACAGCATAGACATGATGTTGAGGGTCTTATATAAAGTTAGACCTGTTGTTTCTGCTAACGTCTTTACTGAACTGTTTCTTCCAGGGTGAGGGGATGTAGGCCACAGGGCCAAAGCCAGGCAATGCACCCACCTCCCCAACACCTCAGTTTGAATTCAGCATGGCCAGCAGAGGAGGAGGGTAAACTCCAGATGTCACTTCTCTAGGGGAAGCATAGTTAGGCAGCTTTTCAATCAGGTCCACGTGTGCTAGCAGCATGCTGCGGCAGCAGTAGCGCTTCAGGCCCAGAGCATCCAGGGCATCCCCCTCGGTGTACTCGGCCTGCAGCAGACCCAGGTAGGCTTCCCATTTGTTGCTGACGATCTTCCCGCAGGTGAAGCAACGCACCGGGATGATCATGGCGGCGTCTCACAGCATAAATCTTTAATCCAGATCTTTTTTCTGCTTTTAAATCTACTCATAAAATCATAGGAGATCCCCTCTGGAAGAAATCTTAGAAATCAGTTTGTCCTGTTTCATCACACCACTAAACTCCAGAGAAGGTGTTGCCTTTCCTATATGTTTAAATAGTATAATAAATTAGAAACAACATAAAACATCATATATTTGTGTATGCTCTGTATATGGACAAATCATAGTGTTTCAATGTACATTAAGGTTTGACGTTTGTGTGTGTCAACTATCTTTATTGTAAACTCCAGAGGCCATAAGAAATACACATTCCAGCGTTGGGACTGTACCTCGATTGGCAGAGTGCTTTCCTAGCATTCACAAAGCTCTGGATCCAACATCTACATCCAGGTGTGATGGTGTATGCCTGTAATCACAGAGCTTGAGAAGTAGAGGCTGGACGATTTGAAATGTAAGGTCATACTTAGCTACACAGGGAGTTCCAAGACCAACCTGGGCTTTGTGAGACCTAGAAGAAGAGGAGGAGGAGGAGGAGGAGGAGGAGGAGGAGGAGGAGGTGATGATACTTTTACACTCTAGGGGTGGTTAGAAGTATCTGAGAAATTCCAAGCAGTAAGCCTGCATTCCAGTGGCAATTATTATAAGAACAGCTGTCTTTCCTTCCATCCAGTGCTCCAGGATTGTTTCAGTTTTGGCCGTGGTTTTTTTCCTGAGTGAAGAGGGTGGGCAGAAGGTATGTGATTTGGTTAGAAGCACTGCTTTTTATAGCTTCCTCCACCCTTGTATATTCAGGTAGAAGAATCTAGTGAGGCCAGGAACTAGATTCTTCAGGGTGATTTATAGGCTAAGTCTTAGTCAGGCCTTTACACCCTTTCAGCCAAGAATCCTGTTACCTGTTTCTAACTAGATTAGACAAATCCAGCCAGAATGTCTTATTTACCTAAAGTAAGGCTTGCCTGAGAGGTTCTTGACAAAGTACATAAAAGGACCAAGAGCTGAAATTACATTGTAAAACTTATATGAGTGGTTTTATATGATTGTTAATAAATGTTTGAACCTGTGTCAGATTTCACAGATTTGGTGTCACTGTAACACACGACTTGGTAGTAAGATTGAGGAATGGGTGGCTACCTCTCAGTGTTGAGGTGATGTCTGCTCTCCCCTCTGCAACAACAAAGTCCAACATGATAATGTTCATATAAGATTACTAACAAATGCCCAGATTGGTTGGAATCAACTTGAAACAGAAGATGACTTACCTCAATTCACATAACAAATTGGTTCTCAGTGGCATTAAATGCCAACAAAATTAAACACATCTTACCAGATAGAAGCCAAGTTGAATCAAATAGAACAATTACTGTTTTACTGAAGTCAAATTTGCTTCAGTCTGGAGAATGGGTCAGGAAGAAAATTCTGGACCCAGGAACATGGGAGAGGAGATTGCCAGTATGGCCCAGGTCAAACAGTGGTACAAAGGGACAAGGTAGGCACCAGCACCAGAGACATCCTTGGATCTGCCACTCAGCCATATAGCTGAAGAGAGGTTGTTTTTTTCTTCGCTTCAATGAGCATGCATGTGCACACACACAAACAATAATAAAAATATATTGGTATGCATCAAGTTCCCTAACTCACTGATTGGCATGTGGCAAGTACAAAAGTAATGCCAACTCCCTCAGCCACCATTGCGACTACAAAATGCTATGGTTGATGAAAGCTGAAAGATGAGTGCGTCTAGGGATTAACTATTTCTGTGTCACTGAATATTACAAGGAAGTCTTGGATGGAAATTTTCTGAAAAGCTCTTGTTTACCTGTCATGGCAAAGTCATTTTAACAGTGCTTAGTTATACTGAAAGGACAGAGGTGATAAGTTTTAGTGTTACTGTTTTGTAACGGCTCTCAGAGAATTTTAGTGTTACTGTTTTGTGTCTATGCCTACTCCTCATTCTCAGATAAAACCAGCTTTCCAAATCGTGGCATCTGATTCAACTGTTTTGTTTTTGCAGTACTGAAGGTCAAATCTGGGGCCTCATACAAACCAGACTAACCCTGAGCTATATTCTCAGACACACCCCACCTCCAGATTCACTCACTGTTACTATTTTTTATTTTATGTGGATGAGTGTTTTGCTTGCATATATGTCTGTGCACCACTTTTGTACCTGGTACCAGCAGAGCCCAGAAAGAGGTCATCAGATACCCTAGAATTGGAGGTACAAGCAGGTGTGAGCTGCCATGTGGATGCTGGGAACCCAGGTCCAATGAAAGAGCAGCCAGTGCCCTTAACTGCAGATCCATCTCTCCAGCCCCATCAGCTATTGTTTCTGAGAAATGGCTGGTATGTAAAGCATTAGGCTTGGTCCATCATATACATTATTTAGCCAATACAAACTAATCTATATGGTAACACTTTTTTAAATTATTTAATATGTATACAACATTCTGCTTCCATGTATATCTGCACACCAGAAGAGGGCACCGGATCTCATTACAGATGGTTGTGAGCCACCATGTGGGAATTGAACTCAGGACCTCTGGAAGAGCAGTCAGTGCTCTTAACCTCTGAGCCATCTCTCCAGCCCCCACTTTGCTACTTTTAATACAGCTGACTGGGAGTGTACATACCTATATGCAGGTATGTCAATGTATGTGAAGGTGCTTGCAGAGGTCAGAGGGGTTTGGAGCTGCTGGAGGGAGATTTGTTTATGTTGATTGCTTGAGTCAGGAGAGCATGAGATCTCAGGATCGTGGTGGGTTAGTGCCCTACATTGGGCACCAGATACTGTGATTTTTTTTTTTTATTTTATTAAAAAAATAAAACTTGGGGCTGGAGAAATGGCTCAGTGGTTAAGAGCAATGACTGTTCTTCCAGAGGTCCTTGAGTTCAATTCCCAGCAACCACATGGTGACTCACAACCATCTGTAATGAGATCTGGTGCCCTCTTCTGGCCTGTAGGCAAAACATGCAGACAGAACACTGTATACATAATAAATAAATAAATCTTAAATAAACAAATAAATCTTTAAAAAAATAAAAAAATAAAACTCAGGAGTAAACACTAGAGAATAGACCTGAGAGATTCATAGAGCAGTGGAGCCATGAACACCTGCCTCTCCCTAGTTTCCAGATCGAAGAGAGGGCACAACCTCTTGGCTCCTCCTTTGTGTGTGGTGATATTTTGTTTATGATCTAACACATAAATCTTGCCTGAAGATCAGAGTGCAAAACTAGCCACACTAGTTAGCCATAGAGGCCAGGCAGTGGTGTCACACACCTATACTCCCAGGACACAGGAGACAGAGGCAAATGGATCTCTGTTAGTTCAAGGTCACCCTGGGCTACAAGAAATTGATCCAGGCTGAAGGAGAAACAGAGCTTACACAAAAGTGATTCCAGCACTTGTAGTGACACGCCTTTAATCCCAGCGCTAAGGAGGTGGAGGCAAAGAAGGGATATGGCAGGGCAGAGAATGGAATAATGTAAGGCAGGAGGAGACAGGAGTTCAGAGCGGTCTGAGGCGGCAGTCTGAGGACAGGATTGTGCCTTTGGTCTGAGCATTGATAGAAGTAAGAACTTCCTACTGGATGACTCTGCTTCTCTGATCCTTCAGCTTTCACTCCCTGAAAGCTGACTCCGAGTTTTTATTATTAAGAACAATGAGAATTCGTGTTAAGCTTGTGTTCTTCTGTCTCCCTCTGAGTCCATCAGGAAGCTCTATGGTCCACTCCTGCCAGCTGAATGTGGACTCTATTGGTGGTCTCGGAGATATCAACACAAACAAATCTCCCCCAACAGAAGCCCCTGGAGCTAGAGTTTCGGGTGGTTTGAGTCACCTAATGTGAACGCTGGGACTCAGTCAATCCCTTAGAAGAGAAGTACGTGCTTTTAACCGCTGAACCATCTCTGTTTTTGTTTTTTGTTTTTTTTTATTTTTCAGTAGTTTGACTAAAATATGTCCAGGCATGATTTCATCTACATATATCTTACTTATTGTTTTCTAAGCTTCTTGGAGCTGGGCGTTTTCTTTTTCTCTTTCATTTGTTTTAGGGAAATGCATATTAGGTGTATGTTTATCTCCTTTATGCTTTGATTTTTCTGTCTCTGCTTCTCTCTCTCTCTCTTTCTCTCTCTCTCTCTCTCTCTGTGTGTGTGTGTATGAAGAGAATAAAAGTCAACATCCAGTGTCTTCCTCAATTATTGTCCACCTTATTTTTTTTTTTGTGATAGCACAGCTAAAATCAAAACCAAAACAAACGTGAAAAGGCATGTGGGCCTCAGTCATTGAGCATGCTTATTACAGAGGACCGGGGTTCAATTCCCAACCCTGATGAAACAAAGGAGGAGAAAGAGAAGGAGGAAAACAGGCTTGGGGGATAGCTTAGTAAAGTTCTTGCTGTATGCAAGCCTGAGGATCTGAGTTCAATCTCCAGAACCCATGTGGGAAAAGAATGGGGAGCATTTGTGATTCGGGGCTGCAGGGCTAGGGAACTGGAGACAGAGACAGGAGAATCCAGACGAGTGAAAGAGTCTACCTTTAAAAGCAAGGTGATGAGGGCTCCTGAGTAATAACAGCTGAGGTTGCTCTCTGATCTCCATAAGCACATGCCTGTGTGTACTCAAGGAACACACACACACACACACACACACACACACACACACACACGGGGGAGGGGGGTGGATTTAGAATAGTATTGTTTGACAATGAATGTTATGAAAGTGTTTTCAATTATTCTTAGCATCAGCACATTCTGCTCCCCCCCCCCCGGGCTATAGAGACTGTTATTCCACTTCTCAGTAAAATCTTGCTTGATTGTTTGAGAGAGAAGATGACACTGATATAAATTTAAATCTATGACCTAAATCACCCTTACTCATGCCACAAGCATGAGTTTGTAAATGCACAGTTTGTAAATATTTTCCCCCATATAACTTAAAGATTCCTTTATTTCTTTTTTTGTTTGTTTGTTTTTGTTTTTCAAGAC